CAGCACACCACCTCTCAGGGCACCACACCCCTTCATTAAGGTAGGCCCTCGACAATGATTTGGGCCAGGCCTGCGCAAGAGGGAAATCGCGCAAGGCCAGCAGATCTGGCCTTGAGTACATCCCCTCAAATTTGGTAAGTCCAGCAGCGGGGCCGGGGGAGAAAGACAGTCCTCGTAAAGTTAATCCTTGGCAAGTGGTCGGGGTAGGCCTAGGTTCGGGCCCAAAGCAGCCAGTTCTTCAAACCCCCAACAGGCAAGTCTGTAGCCGAAAGCAGGCCAAGTTCTCCTATATTGTATGGTATAAAATTAAATACACAGAAATAATTTACCTTATTTCAATTAGAGCTAATACATTAATCAAAGGATCATGCAGCATTGCATAATAAGAAACAGGCAGATAGAGTGGTGAAAATTGTGTTTAATCAGCCATAAAAGTGATGGCATATAGCCCCTACTGTTTTACAGAAATAGAAAGAAAATGAATTTAAGATATGCATAGTTAATAAGATGTTGGCAGACATTTTGTAAGAAAAATAATGCTTTACTTCAATTATGTATATTAAAAGGTACACTTTCTCAAGGCAAGCACAACTTTACTGGTAACTTCATGAAAAAGTCCTTGTTATTTTCTTGGCTATGTTAGAGGCATAATTTCCTTCCTTCCTTCCTTCCTTCCTTCCTTCCTTCCTTCCTTCCTTCCTTCCTTCCTTCCTTCTTTCCTTCTTTCTTTCTTTTTTTCTTTCTTTCTTTCTTTCTTTCTTTCTTTTTGGCTTATATTTTTTTACTTTTGATTTTAGTTTACAGCCTTGCAATTTCCTAAAAACTTCCTATTCAAACATTAAGTAGGTCTGACTTTGAATTCTTTCAAGATAAACCAAGGTAAGTCATTAGAATTGTTAATTGTTGTGTACTATATTAGTTGTGCTATAATGTGAAGCTGGATCAGAATCACATCCCACAAACAGTAACTTAACCTTTCAAAATTTATGAAAGAGACATTGCTCATGAACAGTTTAATAGGATAAATTGAAAAATAATGATAAAAAAATAATTCAAAATTATTCATGTTCATTTTCAGATAATTAAGGAGCGTAAGGATGAGGACTGGGACATGGGAAACATTGTGTTTACTTTAACAAACAGGCGATATGGAGAGAAGTGCATTGCCTACGCAGAGAGTCATGATCAGGTACTGTAACAACTTAGCAGTTCATTTCCACAACAACTAGAATTAGATTACGGCCATCCATCTTTAAAAGATAAAAGAGAAAAAATAAATATGAATTATATATATATATATATATATATATATATATATATATATATATATATATATATATATATATATATATATA